AAAAAAAAAGCGACCTAAAAATAGCTCCGAAATACAGCCATTTTGGTTAGAAAGAGATATTTACGGAAAATTACGTTCCCTGGTGCTCGAACCGAACAATGGGAGTAACTATGCAGAGCATCTGCGTTGATGAAATATCTTTCAGAACTCAGTCACTTCTCTGATGCCTTTATATCAACCCAATTACTTGTAGTTATGAAAAAATAGTTATTGATTTCACTCTCAGCAATATTTAGGGTGAATCGATTTCTAATCAACGTTAACGTGCCTGGTAGCTAAACTGAATTTGACAATTTTGTCCAGGACGGCATCCAGGCGGCGCGAACAAACATCCTTTCATCGTGCCACATGGTGAGATATCGAGTTGAGCTTGGACTGACTGAAAACAGCAACTACTAGAAATAGGAACAACTTTATCTAGAATTGTTTACACTGATTCCTTATCTTCGGAATGCATTATGAACTTGGATGGATGGACGGATGACAAATTTTGTCACTGTATTAATTTCTCAAGTCTACCTGACGTACCTTTCGACGGCAACTCAGGCACTGACCAAAACAGCAAGTAGAGGCACTGACCCAATCTTATACTGTGTAGGAAGCTCAGAAGAATGTGTTCCAGTCGCCACTGCGCGTAACTACTGCACGGGTAATGCATTTTTGTACTGCTATATGCTCTACCTTGATGGACACTTTTTGTCAAAGAGCCATCTCGGAGCGCTAGGTTCGGTAATGTAAGTATTTTTTACCCAAGGTTTCCAAAATTAGACAACAACTCCCTCAATTCTCAAGGGCATCAACCAGCTGTTATCAACTATTCCTTGCTTTTTGCTTTTTACTTTTTCAATCCATTTAGCTGTGGTAAACTAAAAAGTGAAGGTATTGTCCTGTCATAAATCCACGGGAGTAACTGCCCTGATAGGTTGGCTTGGACAAAATTGCAGCTAAATAGTTCAAAGGGCAAATCGCTTTCAAACAAGTTCCATGCCATTTTAGCCGAACCATCACGACAAAGGATTTCGTTTCCATGTTCGAAGATAGAGATTAAATAGCTTTAGGATTGAAGGAGCAAGAAATGAATGGATTAAACTACGATAAAGGTCAAAGAGTCAGATTAAGCTGTCGTAAAGAGGTTGTACTTGATTACTCATCAAACACGTTGCCTTTTCCAACAAATACGTAATTGCGAAGCAAACCGAGAAGGTAGCAACCACTCCACCTCATCCATCCCGAGAGTCGTGCATCACATCATCACCTACATACAAGTACACCGTATACATGAGACTATGAGTTATTGACACCTTTCCGTTCAATAAAATCATGTATCGAATTCGAATGGAATCAGAATATTTCAAATTCATCGCTCTACAGCGGCAACAGTATTTGCGACAAACCAGTATTATATACCAGCCAGGAGTAACTTGCCGAGAATAATTTTTTTTTCCTCTGATAACTCTACTTTCAGCTGTCAACGGATGAGACGTTGACTTGTTGGGAAAGTTAGAATGAAAACGAACAGACCAAAAGGAGCGTTGGTGAGAGGGAGGGCAGAGAAGGACGAAGAAGCTTCTCTGACTGCCTTAGCATCTATGAATGGGGCGTTCTGGAATATTTACCCTTCCATCCGCAGGGAAGCTTATATGGGCCTTAAAATGTGCAGTTCACGACTATCAATAAGGCAAGCACTGCAGGACCGGTATCAACAATAATTCAGAAAAAAAGACAATCTCAAACGGCATGATAAGTTTGTATTGGCATATTGATGCTATTTGGCTTATTCCGTTGGCAAACCAGTCTAAAGCAAGCCAATGTGATAGCTAGCAGAAATAGGGTGGGAAAGACTCAATTCGCAGAACTTGTGGAAAAAGCTTGTTTTCATCGGCATGAAAGGGATACCTTAAATGCTAGAAAGACAAGAAGAAGAAAATGTGCAGAAAATGCAAAAATGATTTTTTCCCAGCAAGATGATTGCTTTCGCTAAGAAATCAATTCAAATGGGAAAAGGCAAAATACAGGAAAGAACATAATGAAAACGAAGGCTTCCCGAAAAAATCGCATCAAACGAAGCGATTGAATGGGTTTCGTCTCTGCTAGTTGGAAGTATCCATTGTTTCAGTAAAACGACTCAAACGTATTCAAAAAAGCAATGATAATGTGATCTTACCGACAGTCCTATGCCTAACAGAAGTAAGAGCATTCCGGGAGCTGTCTGAAAAATCTAATTTAATTTGAGAAGATTCGACCTTGGTGAGATGCGAAAAAAGGTGCAAACGGTTAAGTGTTACACGAGATGGTTTTGATGGATAGGAAGATAAGCCGCTTCGCATTCAATCACGATATATTACCGAAGAAATCAATAATGATCCTAAGAAATATCATTAATAACTAAGTTAAGTCATTCAGGAAGTACGCAAGTTGATAATAATAAAATTCATTTGAATGATAAGAAGTGGTTTGAGCACAAGCTAAGAAGAGCTTTCAGCGATTGATCACACCCTGAATCGTTGATTCCCGAGGTTGAACATTTGCTGTATAATTGGTTAACAATGGCCACAGGCAGGGATCTATACATAGGAAAAATCGAGGAAAAAAAGATCGACTGTAGCATAGAAACCGGGTTTTTTCTCCGAAACATATAGCATTTTAAGTGAGATATACAGTGTCAGGGAGCATTGCCCTCTGTTCTGTTCGACAATTTCTTTACCTCTTTTACAAAGGCACTGAAATATAAGTACGATAGAATGCTTCGACAAAATGCTTTATCTATTCAAAGCCCCCTCCGGAAATAGAAG